TAAAAACAGATGTCCTGTTCACTTGAAGTAAAGATCCACTTTTAAAATCTTGTTTTTGAGAACTTTACCTTTTTTGTTACAAGTGACCTTGTCTGGAATGTCTGAAAAGTAGTTAATACTTTTTGGGGTTCTCTGTAATGAGTAAAACTGACTTCTTAAGCTACAGTATTGGCTATATATTTTTGTAAACTTACAAGGAAGGGCCTTCTATCCAGTCTTCACATGCACACACCCTGGTTCTAGGTCTTGGGAGCCATATTCTACATTTGCATGGATAGATGCATGTACAGCTTAGTCAGCCTGCCAAAAGCACTTGCCTGAAATTGTTCCAGACTCTGGGAGAGAGCACAGAGACCTGTAAAGCAATTTCTTTGTTCCTCAGCCATAACTTAGCATCTGCTTTCAGCACAGCTGCTGTTTTACAGTGAGGTGGTGTTAGGAGGTGAGTGGCAGGAGAGTTTGAACCCTGTCTGCAAGGCAGGTATTGTTGGCCAAAGCTGGAGAGCTGAGAAGTGTCCTTCACTTGGTTCATAGGCCAACATCTAACACGTATCAGACAAATTGTCCCTACACTCACCAAGCCTGAGGGACATCATTTGAGTGAAATGCTGTATTGTGGGAAAACTGAAACTATTTTGTGTGTCTGTGTTGAGGTTGAGGTGGAAATTTCTCTGTAACACTGATGACAATATTCTAAGCTTTCCTTATCCTAAAAGGTAAATAACTTCAGACAAAGCTTTAATTTCTTTTGCACTTCTGTTTTGAGCTTGTAACTGGAAAAGCATGTCTTGCACTGTTCAGTCTCTCTGGTCACTTTAACCACCTCAGAGTTGTGTACAGTGATTATTCCTCTCCCATCTGTATATTTTTGGAACCTTATACAAATACCATTGTCCTTGGTTTTGTTTTAATGTACTAAACTATGTAGCTTTATCATTTGACTTATGTTTTCTTTTTTTAACTAGCTGCTGCTTTGGGTTTAGGTGGTTCTGAATTCAACTTGGGATGGCATTGAAGATGCAAATGCTGCATTTGTAGCTGTCCACAATCTCAATACTATGGGTTAAAGTGCAAGTTTCTCTTTCATTTTGTACAGCTGTCAGCATAACACAGTGGCTGTATTTAAAGCACCGAACAAACAAATCAGAAATTGTCTGGTCAAATGTTACATAATCACAGAAAATGGATGTTTTTCCTGAATTTCCAGCTACAGTTTTTACTTCTAAAACATATTGGCTCATAGCAGGAGTGGCGTTGCAAATGCCTAATGTTTCGCAGACATTTAGTGTTCAAATAAACTTCTTGAATAGTTTGAGTCTTTTTTAAAAAAGGCATTTTTTCTTAAGCATCAAAGAAATTATAAAAGGTTATCTGAGGGAAGACTTAAACTGTTAAAGGAGCATTGGCTGGTACTGGCTTTCTACAGCTCAGAATTTTTTTTTACCATTAAGAATCTCTTTAAGATAGTTACCTGCTCTTCAGATTAAAAATACTGGCATATACTTTAAAAAATAATTTTGAATCAAATGATCAGCATGATAGCTATAATTACTGTGTGATACAAATTCATTTAATGGTTATTCATGATGAAAAATTCCTGTAATGGACTATTTACCAGCTATTTGTGGTGAAATACTTCCGAACAAGTATAAACTTGTGAATTGCATTTACTGAAAAGGTTTATTCATACATCTCTGCATATCTTTCACCTTATTTTCTTTATTAATTTCTAGAATATGCAAACAATTTCCCTCCCCCCCTTCACAATATACAAATAGTTTCAGGTTACTCAAGAGTAACATTTAGTTATGTGTTGGGGAATCTCTAGTTCTGCATAAACTGAGCTGGAAACAAGAACAGCTTATTGTTACATGAAATATTCTATGTGAGTGTGCCAAGTGCCAACTTGGAATCTTCAACTCAAGGAAGTGTCACGTGCTCCAAGTTTGCAGGTGCATCCTGATTATCCACGTGCTGATGAGCACAGTAAATGGAACAAGGCCCGCGAAACGTAACAGATACGTCACAGATGGTTACAAGGCAGCTCTGGAAATGCCATGGCAAAGGCACACCAGTGTTTTGTGTTTCACTTCCCAGGGAGGGAGGCATCATATGGCTCTCCCTCTGGAATATACACTGCTGGCACAGACAGAATGGAGAAAACAGGATGAAGTAATAGTTTGGAGAAAATAGCTACAGCGTTAATTTCTGACACCGTATTGTCCCTTATTAAATAGAAAGTATGCATTTGCAACATGCTAATAAGTTGCCTGGAGTAAAAACTAAATCACTTTTCATTCTAAATGTCTGTGCACCTTTACATGAGTTGTTGCATCGGCCTGGAGAAGTGTAATGTCTGTGGTGGTTAGTGACTGTATAATCTGTTTAAAGGCAGATGTAGTTTACGAAGTTACGTGAAAAATTGTTTTATTTGCAGCCACTGTTCAGCTTTAGTACTTGTATCAAGGGCTGAAACTGAGCAGCTCAGGGTTGACAGGGAAAGCAATTGTGTCTTTTATAGTTAGTTTCTTAAAATAACTTAAAACTACTAAGGCTGGTTTTCCTGCTTTTCTAAAAATAGCACCTTGCCTTGAAAACTTTTTTTGTCATAGTAGGGTTGGAGATTTTTTTTTTACAAATTTATGTATCTAGTGAAAATGGTGAAAATGGGATCAGAAGATACCACAGTGGTGCTTTTTTGAGGGAAAAGCTGTTTGCAACCAGGTCTTGTGTCATAGGTGGAAGCACTGAAGGAGGAAAGACTACCTGCTTAACAAAATAAATTTCACAGAATAAAGAACAGATAAAAACAAATGGAACTTCAATTCCTGATATTTGCTCAGCATTGCACATTAATCACTGAAGTTCATTAATGTTACAAGGATGCCTGTGAATAATTTCTTAATGTAAAAGGTAAGACAGAATAGAACAGAAACTTAGTTGCTTTCACTGAGATCCAAGGGGGAGCACTAAGGTTGCCTAAAGAATTTTCAACATTAAAAGCTTCTTGGAAACGGGATGACGTAGGATATAGTTGAATGTGTCATGAGACAGAAGACAGCTACCTGATTTCTTGATGTTCCTGATGGTATTAAGAAGGTAACTGGCAAATTACAGTGGTAGATTGTTATTTCATTCATAAGTTAATTCAGTTTGGACTATTTTACAGCAACATGTCTGCTAGGTGTCAACTGTTCTGATACTCTCCAGTTGCATTCCTGTGCTGCTTTGCACCACACCTGGACCAGCTTGCTTCTCCATGCGCTCTCTGCTCTTGCAGTTGTCCTTCCTGGATCTCACCTTCCTCATTGGACAGGGAGGCACTGCTGGCTTTGGTTTACATGTAACTGAACATTCTAGGATTTTTGCTCTAGCTTTGTGCCAGCTGAAGGCACGCTAGATACTGGATGTCTTTGTCTTTGGAAAGGAAAATGTCAGATAGAAAAACTGTTAGCTTGCTGAAGACCTAATAAATCTGGATTTGTTACACAGACTGTTTAAAGCAGAAAGACCCAGTGAGTAAATAGGAAAGACACTTTGCTCTCCAGTACACTTGGGCAATTAAATTTTCCAAAACTTTCCTATTTAGTATTTTTCTTAGTCTTTTAAGCCTTGTTTAGCTGTTCTGGAATGTTTATAAATCTGGGCTCTCCTATTTAGTGGCCCTACTGAAATTTGTGACCATTTACAAACCTATATGCATTTGCAGTGCTGTAAACCTGCCTCCCCCAGTGCTCCTGTTGGCCAAGCTGCAACCTCTCTCATCAGCTGACACATTCCTCCTCTTGGCAGGATCCTTCCCAAGGGTGAGAAGGTCTTTAGCGCAGTGATGGATAGCAGTGCTAATATTTGAACTACAAGAAGGGAACACTTTCAGAAATGTTGCTCACAGTGTTTGGAGTGCAGCTGAGTGGAACACTGGTGACCCTGGCAATTCTGCACTCGGCTGCTGCACGGGCAGCTCAAAGGTTCTTCCTGGTTTATTGTGAAACGGTCACTGACCGAGAAGTAAACCTTGCAAGGTCACAGTGCCTGGATGAAATCTAAACATCTGGTTTGCCTCCTGTGCTGCACCAGTCCTCACGGAGTCTGCAGAATTCAGATCGTGTGGCTAAGGAGGGAAAAGCTGTGCACGAACTTTTCCGTGTCTCATCTACTTGCTCCGTTTTTCCCTTCTAATTCCCATCCTAATATGCACAGATTAAAAAGGCATGCAAACAAAACTATTCACAAAGGTGTTATGTTTCTTGGATCCTGTGCTTTGTACATTATTTAGATTGCAAATATTGTCAAATAGGGATTGTATTTCCCCTTCATGAGCCCAGTTGCACATGGGGCTTTTAGCAGCCAGTACGCATTAGCCCTTTTTATTAATTACTACAAATAAATTTTAAGTGATGCAACATAAACCTTGAGATAGTAATAGTACATTAACAGATAAGGTGTAATTTAATTTGTGATAACTTTGTCTGCTGTTTTTGTCACTATTACTCATTTAGAGTATTTTGAGTGGATTTTTGATCTACAGATTTAGATTATTTTGGGTGGACAAGTAAAATCCCAGGCAAGTAGTCATGCAACTTCTATATTAAATAATTTTTGTAACTGAACTTCCCGAAGTCAACATTATATAAGAAATACATGCAGGGACAGATTAAATGAAGGTCAGTTCTTACAGAGGAGTTTGTCAGTGAAGTTCTTAGAATATCTTACCACAGAAAGAGACCTTGGCGCAGGCGTTTTGAGTAGTAGTTAAATACCTTTAGGCAGGAGTCTTTAAGCACGGGGTTAAACCACGACAGCAGTACAGATTTTGGACAGATGACGGCTATTCCTTACAACCTCCTTCCCTTCCCGGCGGTGCCGCTGTGAGGGGTCGCTCCCGCGGGCTGAGGGAGCCCCCCCGGCCCCTCAGGGCGCCAGCAGGGGGCGCCTCCCCGTCGGGAGCGCGCCTGACAGCGGGCGGCGGCCAATGGAGGGCAAGGGCGGGGCGGGGGGGCGTGTCCGCGAGCTGCCTCCGCGGCGCTATAAAGTGCGGTGCCGGGGGCGTCGCGGAGCGGGCGTGACGGGCGGGTGTGAGGGGGTGCATCGCTGCCGCTATGGGGAATACCGTGGCCAGAGAGGATTTCGAGTGGGTCTACACGGACCAGCCCCACGCCGACCGCCGCAAGGAGATCTTGGGTGAGGAGCCGCGGTGCCGCCGCGTCTTGCCGCCGGCTACGTGGCGGAGCGGCAGGGGGGGCACACACGGGCACCCCACAAAATGGCCGCCCGCGCCGGGGGGTGGCGGGGCCCGCGGGGGGCTCCCGGCGGGAAGAACGGAGCGGCTGGAGCCGGGCCGGGCCGGCGTACGTGGAGGCGGGAGCTGCCGCCTTGGCGGCGCTGGCGGGGGAGGGGAAGGGAAGGAGCGGGAGGAAGGAGGGAGGGGGAGGGCGGCGGCCGGGGTTGTCTCCCGAGGGGCCGCCCCGCGGAGCCCTGCGAGCGGTCAGGCGGTGTCAGCACGGAGGTGACAGCCCGCACTCACGAGGGGGGATAACGGCGTCCTCGAGTGCCGCGCTTAATGCGGGGCTGAGCTCATTGCAGCCCTTCTGAATCGCCGGTGGGTTGTTCGGTTCAGAGCCATTTCCTTCCCGGGTAGGCTGGAGGTGGCACTGGTGCTTGCCGTGTACGTGTCTAGTTGCTGAGCAACGTGAAAGTGTGAAAATGACTTGATTCCAAGTGATTCATTATAGTAGCAAATATCACAAGTGAGAAGGTCATGCGTTTTCATTACCTTTGCAGACAAATCCTAATTGGGAAGAAGGGAAGGAAAGGCTCTATCTGCTGTTGTAATCTAGTTGGGGTAGCTGGCTGTGAGGAGAGCTTCGAAGTAACTCCTTTTTCTTTCTCATCTAGCTAAACATCCAGAGATAAAAGCATTGATGAAACCAGACTACAACCTGATCTGGGTGGTTGTGCTGATGGTTCTGGCGCAGTTGACTGCATTTTATCTAGTTAAAGACTTGGATTGGAAATGGGTAGTCTTCTGGGCATACGTTTTTGGAAGCTGTATTAGTCACTCCATGACTCTGGCTATTCATGAGATCTCTCACAATAGTGCCTTTGGCAACAGCAAAGCCATGTGGAATCGATGGTTTGGAATATTTGCCAACCTCCCTCTTGGTCTCCCATACTCCATATCCTTCAAGAGATACCACATGGATCATCATCGTTACTTGGGAGGTGATGGAATTGATGTGGACATTCCTACTAACTTCGAAGGCTGGTTTTTCTGCACCCCTTTTAGGAAGTTCATGTGGATTGTTCTACAGCCTTTTTTCTATGCGATTAGACCACTCTGCATCAATCCCAAACCCATTACTCGACTTGAAGTAATCAATTTGTTGGCTCAGCTTTCCTTTGATGTTGTGATATATTATTTATGGGGAGTCAAATCCATTTTTTACATGCTTGCTGGTTCAGTACTTGGACTTGGGTTGCACCCAATTTCAGGACACTTCATAGCTGAACATTATATGTTTTTAAAAGGACATGAGACCTATTCCTACTATGGGCCACTTAATTTGCTCACTTTTAATGTTGGCTATCACAACGAACATCATGACTTCCCCAATATTCCTGGCAAGAGCCTTCCATTGGTAAGTTTACTTCCAAGGTTTTTCTTAAATTAAGCCCTATTTTAACTTGAAAATTAGGTAGAACACTGACAAAAGAATGGAAGTTGGGAGATAAACAAACAAACAAACAACAAATAACCAAACAAAAACCACAACATGAGTGATAAAGGAGGTAATTACTTAGCATTTTAGTGGTATCTTCAATAAGCTTCCAGTGTGCTGACTGCCTCTTCCATAAAAGGAGAGGGGAGGAAAAGCATGTCTTATGGTTTGCACTAACTTTAGCTTCCTGTAATTACAATCTGTCTTCTGATTTCTTCGGTTTGTAAGTATGCAGAAAGCTAGTTAAGAAGTTGCAAATAACTCTGGATATTTGTTGTCTCTGCAGTCTTAAGGACAGTGTTGTAACGTGTACTTATCCTTCAGTTTCTCCTATCAGTGACTCAGGGTTTGAGATGATGTTAATGTTTGTTGTACTGTTGACAAATGTTAATTAACTTTCCAGTCTGGAGCACCTCAGTTCCCTCTGGTAAGAGCCTTTGAACCCTAAATAAGTATCAGCTGACAGAATAATAAGTATCATTGACAGAATTAAGGCTTCTGTGCCATGACTTAGACCTGTCATGTCTGAATGAGTAGCAGAGGTGAAGTTTCTTCTCACTTCAGTCTTTGCTTCTTAAAGGTAGGAATTTTGTTCTCATTGTATATATGTTTCCCAATTGGAGCACAAGCTTCAGGGGACGTTAAATTTGCAATTTGACAGCAGCTGTGGTGTTGGTCTTGTAGCTTTGTTATTGCACTTGGCAATAGTAAGACCTTATGAGCTTGCCCCTTTGGTGAAGTCTAAGCTTTTTATTTCTGTTGTCGGTGGTGGAACTGTAGGTGAAAGAAGTATGCTAGCACTTTTAGCAGGGCAGGTAGATCATGTAATTGGTTTGAGGGTTTTTTTGTGTGTTGTTTTTAATGACAAATGATTGCTCTTATTCATAGATTTCATCTTTCAAACACAGCAACTTTTGCTGTAAGTCACCTTTTATACTTAGGTCTGTGCTGGTGAACCAGCATTCCACCTCTTGCAGAGGTACTTCAGCTATAAATAGGCACAAATTTTTTCAAGTATTTAATTCCAGGGGTAAATACCCAGTTCTGCTGCAGGACTTGTAATCCACAGCTCTGATAAGAAAACAAAGCCTTCTTTTAGAACAGTGTAGTGAATCTGATTGGACTGGACTCTGCTATGCTGCGTGCTAAGATCCCTGAAGTCCTGAACACTTGACTCCTCAGCACTGGTGAGCTGAGGAGTGTTACTGTTGAATAAAAGCATAGATACACTATTCTGTAGGTGTCATGATGGATCAAAAGGATCTTTGGCTTCAAACTAAAGCTATGGAATTTTGTGAGAAATCCTTTTTTGTTCTGTTCAGGTTTTCAAGGCTTCAGGTGCTTGGCCTTAAATATCAGTAAGGACACCTAACTGAACCTGCTGTTCTCAGTTTAAAATAGTGGTCTAGTCAGCATGTACAGCTGAGAACAGTCTTTGGAAGCAGTTTATATTCATTCTGTAAAGTCTGTCTCCATAAAGGTGTTTCTCTGAAATAGGACTTTTTTTTTTTTAATTTCTGAATGCTGAGGTTTGAAACTATATGTAAGAATAGCTGTGTTAAACATCTCTTCCTAGAACTCATAACATCCTTTTTTACTGGTACTTGTATACCTATGAGTCAGCACTGAAGTGAGTCATCTCCTTTCAATAGCAACAAAACCACTTGCTTTTGAGAGCTTTATCATCCCGTGAGTAGCACAGTGAACGGACTTTGGAGTGCCAGAGGAGTTTGTTCTGGTCATCTTCAAAAGCTGCACATGAAGTTTACGTAACAATTAGGGAATTGCTTTATCCTTCCAGAAACGTTCACACTGTGGCACTTGTCCTTCCTGTATAATCTAACGTCTGAAATGAAAGTGCTGTGCATTAGGTTACACATTGAGTTTGCAAAGTTGTCACAATTTGTGCTAATATAACTGGTAAATAAACTACATATCTCTTCTTCAGGTGAAGAAAATAGCGGCTGAATACTATGACAACCTGCCACAATATAACTCTTGGATAAAAGTACTATATGACTTCGTGATGGATGACACAATCAGCCCATATTCACGCATGAAAAGGCAATTAAAGGGTGAAGTGAAGCAAGATTAAACTTCTGGCAACCAAAAAACTTTGAAATGTCTGCTTGCTTTAAAGTGGCTGGTATAAAGGTCTCTTGCTAAAGCTGTTCACCTGTGTCCTGAATTAAGATGTACAGCAACATAGCAATGCATCCCTTAAGGACTTTGTAGCAGACTCCTACCAGCTATAACATTCCTCACAGTCCTCAGATTTGTTGGTTTAATGTGTCTCTGTTTGCCTAAGGATCAGTGTTATATGCATAATGCAAAATCACTTTGTTACAGAATTTACTTTGGTAGGTGTTAAATCGATATAAAATATGTCTGACTCATAATATTTTAAAAGTTCTCAATGTAGTATACTGCCTTCAACATGCTCTTCAGATGACTGTAGTTTTAAAAGGCTGTACTTACCTGTTAATTCTGAACTAACATAATTTGTTAACTTAAACCTTCTGTTGAAAATGTTTCCAAACTTATGGTTGGAAGAGCTAAATTTGCACAGAAATGTTAAGTCTGCTTTTGTTTAAATACGTAATATGTTGTTTGAAGCATTGCTTTAAAGTTTTACCTTTTCTACTTAAAGTACCTTGAAGGAGCAATCTATCAGAATGAAACCAGTATCCTCGAGATGGCTTTTGTTACTTCTTTTTTGAAAAAAAAAAAAGTGGGGAATTTAAGGGTATTGCCAACTCTGTGGTCCCACTTACTGCCTGAGCTGCTTATGTTGGCATATAGTGTGAGCAGGTGGCATTTAGGAAACTTAAAATAACTGATTTGGGTTTTCACATTGGAAAAATTGTTACAGTTTGAGGTTTTTCTCATCTTCAAAGAAAAATGATTACCATGTTACCATGGTTTTAAATGCCATAAATATTTACACTCATTTGGAAATCTGGCTTGTATGGAAAACAGAATAGATTGAAACTGATATTGTTCTGGCAAACAAGGCTTGCTACAACCACTGACACTTTTACCTGTTGAGCATGTTAGTAATTTATGTACGCAGAAAGGTGTTGTTAAATAATCTCGTTTGTTTTTTTCCCCATAAACCTACAGTACCCTCCATAAATACTTGTCTTTCTTACATATTAAAATGTGGTGAGAGGTGGTGATATCAAATTTCCTGCTTAAGAAGTTTTTAATTGGAAACAGAGAATGGATAGCCTTGCTGAAAACCGAAGAATCTCTCCACACCTCAGCAGATCTGCCTTCTACCATCTAATGAATTGATGATGGCTTTAAGCAGTCAAAGGTGGCTACATATCACCCTTAAATCTCAAATGGTCATTCTGTGGTATGTTCTTCACTAACCTGAAAGATGGAATCTGAAGAAGGTGGAATTTGTAGCTGCTGGTCTGCTGCAAGTAACTTAATTTTAGATGCCTTCAACTCTTGCATTCTGGTGTGGGTTTTTTAGGGTGTTTGTTTTTTGTGAGGATTTTTTGGTTTTTTTTGTTTGGTTGGTTTTTGGTTTTGTTTTTTGTTTGTTTGGTTGGGTTTTTTGGTTGGTTGGTTGTTGGTTGGTTTTTTGTGGTTTGGGGGTTTTTTTGTTTGTTGTTTTTTTTTTTTTTTTTTTTTTGAAGAAGGTGAGTGCTTGAAAAGAACGTGTTGGTACATCTTAATCCCTGTTCGATTGTGATCCTGTTCCTAATGTGTGTTTGTTGAAGTATGGGCCCTTGCCTGTGGCTAAGCAATAGAAATGGAATGAAAGGATGCCAACCACTTCCAAAGTGACTTCATTGTGCCAGAAACATGAGAGAGAGCCAGCATATTGCTCAGGGTAGAGTGTAATGTCAAAATATACGCTGTCCAGTATTTTTACATGTAATTAAAAAGCAAAGATTAAAGTAATATTGGGTGAATTTTTGATTGGTCCCCTTATGCTGAAAGACTTCAGCTTTAGAGAAATTTAGTATTTTTAAAGCAGATTCAAGACCTGTTTTATTGAGTGGTGGTATAGATGAACTGTAAAGAATTGCTGCCTTTCCTCTTTCCTCAGGAAAACTGACTTTGGTTGAAATACTTGTGTAGGCTTAACAAGTTGCAAACCGGTTTCTTTTTAAGCCACTTAATTTAAGAAGAAAAGGGTGAGATTAACTATCTTTGATGTTGATGAATTATCATAGGTGGATGAAGGATGGAAAGTGTCTCCAAAATTTAGCTAAGAGCTAAAGTTAAGAAATTCAGCTATCCTGCATGAATACTTAAGATAACCAGAGCTGAGAGTCAAAATTTTATAGCTACTTAGTTACCTATGTTGTGGAATCACTGATGCTCCTTTCTGTCCCCCCAATGGGTAGTGCAAGTGTAAATTCCTGCTTTTAATCAGGACTGAAGTTGCCATGTCTTTTGTTTAAAATTGCAAATGTTGCTTTAAGGTGTTCTGACTATGCTCTTCTCTTCCAGTTCCCATTATAAACACACTATCTTTCACTTCAAGAGGTGCAGAATAGTGGGGAATTCTGAGGGAGGTATCTATGCTTGCCATGATCTTTCTGAAACATCTGCTAATGGCTACCTATGGGAGAACACTTACCGGATTAGGTTAATCTGAGCCAGTAAGACTTTAATTTGTATCTAAATGATGGTCCAATTCTTGCAAGCATTGGTAAATAGCATTCTTAGGCATATAATTCCTGTGTAATATGCAAGAGGCCTTGGCATCCAACTTCAATAGTCAGGATTTTGCCAAAAGCAGATCATCTGAAAGTTAACCTACACTGCAGCATAGTTTCATCCCTAAAAGACGGAGTTAGAGGCACTTCTGAACCGCTGGTGAAAGTAATTAAGAACAGCTGGGCTACTTGATTTGTGTTTGATATATTCTAAATGTACAACTAGTTTCATCCAGTCATACTTAAATGTGGGGTTTACTCCAATGCCATGGCACTGAACTAAGAAACACTAAGATTTTTTTAAAAATATACATACATCATGAGTTATTATTTTTCAAGGAAATAAATAGTCTTCATTAATACAATTAAAATAGATATGGCAGAAATAGGTTAGTATAATTTTTGAAACATTTTATCTGAAAGTTGAAGGGAGCCTTGACTAACCGATGAAGAACAAATTAAACCTAAAGAGCAGTAAGAACCCTGACAGTTAACCCCATTATAATTTTTTCTAAATCCATTCAGATGGAATGAGTTAACTTTGTTTCTACTTGCCTGTTAGGGTTTGTTCCTTTCTGTGTAACTAAAGCATCTCAGTTTGGCCAACATCTCCTTTATGTGAAATCGGCCAGGAGTTCAACTGTCATCCAAGCATTGTAGCTGCAGTTAAATTGGGCAGAGCCCTGAATCCCTTTAGGGCTTTCAGAGTAACTTGGAGTTTTCAGAGTAAACTTCCTTGCATAGCTTTTAACACTCCCTGCCTCCAATTATTTGAAGTTGCTTAAGTGGAATAAGTTGTGCGTCCTGGAATCTGATTGTACTAGGCATTAGTTTTCCCACAGGACAGGCGTGGGTATATTCCTGTTTCAAAACAACTCTTGCCTCTGACATTCTTGTTTGGCTGTTGAACCTGTCTGCTCCCCATCAGTAGCCAATTAACATGTGCTAAATGAGCGCATCTTTCTGGCTGCAGATCTCTGTGCTTTCAGATCCCTGGCAAGACTTCCCACCTGGCACCAGAGGTCAGTTGAAAACTAGTTAAGACTTTCAGTTGTGTGTCTCAGAATTCTTCTGGTGAAGAAGTCTTTAAATGTAGCTGGTGAGCACATAACACACACATGAAAGTCTACAAGTGTTGCAAAATGTATCTGTTCTAGGTAAGTGGCCACTATCCGACTAAGAGGTCAGTGATTCACCTCTGCCTCCTTGACTTTTACTACTTGTATCATACAAAGAGGCATGTCACAGGAGAGCTTAAAGCTGTTAATTCCTTATTTAATGATGAAGTTCAACAACCAGTAAACATCAGTGCTGTAGACTGCAGGCTGCCATGCTAATCCTGCTGGACAAGCAGGAGAAAAGTCACTTCCCAACGGCAATCTTGTCTAAGTAGTCTGACACAGCTTCTGGAAAGTGTACTCCTGTAATTTGAAAGTCTCAAAAGACTTATGGCAAAGCAAGCTCTGCTGTTTTAGCTCACACTGCAAGGCACAGGAGCCACTTCTGGGTCTGCCAATGTTGCTTCCGTAAGATCCTAGGAAAAACCTGATAAATAGGTGTGGCTGAATCATGTGCCTTTAGCACAGTAACCTGCAACTCAGCACACAGTTCTCTTCTGTAGCAAATCCTCCATTTCACAATGAACCCTGAAGCAGTATACAAGACTTTAGTCAGAACAAAGATGTGGGAAGTTTCCTACTGAGCCAAGAATGAAGGCAGATTTTTTTTTTCCTGTTGACAGTTCTCTGCAGTACCTCTACCCCCTATCCATGCTTAAGTTAGCACCTACTCTGCTCTGTGACAAGATCATTATTGTGGTTTAGATATGTTGCTAGCCTCAGGAAAAGGGAGGGGAGAGTGGCATGATGAACAATTCAGTGATCTTGTCACAACAGAAACAAGATGACTAGAGGCAAAACCTCTAGGCCTGTCTGCTGGGAGGGGCAGTAGCTGCATATGCAGAACAAAATATTTGTCTCTATTTCGTGAAAAGGCTCAGTTCCTTAAAGCAGCTCCCATTTTCTCTGTACAAAGGATCATTGTTTTTTAGTGATACATACTATAGCCTAAGCAGAATTTCCCACAAGAAAAAGTAGCAGTGTGGGTGCACTGCTCCTGTGTGAACAGTCAGTTCAGTTGCTGTCTTTGCTCCTTGATGCACACACAGCCCAGGCAAGGTAAGCAAACAGGATATGGACACTTGACTGATGTGGCCTTTTCTGGCTTTCAACTTGACTTCAGGTTTTCCTGTAAATTCAAACCCTCCTGTACCTCACTTCCACTTCCATTATTACCTGTTAAGAAAGAAGAATGATCATGAGACACCTTGAATATTAAACATGTTTTGTGTTGTAACTCTTGACAAGACTGAATTGTTATTATGATTACTTGAATAGTATTTCCTTCTTTCTTGCTCCATATATACACAGGAATAATACCATCATGAGAGTAAAGGAAAATTTTTAAGTGAATATGCCAGGGCTTGAGGACTTCATTCCTTCCTAACCTCATCAACTGCAGCTATCCTCAAGTATGGTAGTAGGAATCCTCTCTATATATCCATAAAGGAGAAATCATTGATTCCGTTCTTTGGTCCACTCAAACACTCAAATGAATCGAGTGTATTATTATATTATTGTATTATTATGAGGAAAGGCTGAGAAAACTGTGTTTGTTCAGCCTTGAGATAAGAAAGCTTAAGGGAGACCTTACCACTATGTTCCAGGGGTGGCTACAAAGAAGATGGAGATTCTCTTTTTACAAGAAGTCACATGGAAAAGAGGAGGGGTAATGGGTGCAAGTTACTCCTGGGCAGCCTCCAATTGGAAATGAGGAAAACTATTCCAATAGCTGATGGTTTCATTGTGAAAAATCTCAGGAAAGTGGTAGATTCCCCAGTATCAGACTTGTAAGATGCAGCTGGACAGGGTGCTGGGCCATCTTGTCTAGACTGTGCTTTTGTCAAGAAAGGCTGGACCAGATGATCCTTGAGATCCCCTTCCAACCCTGCTATTTATTGAAAACAATGATTCTCCATCTTGGGTTTCTGGGAATCATAGTAACTCCTGAAGCCCCAAACCTGATCTACAATGAAAAGCAGACATGTCATCTTCTGCTTTATATACAGGGACTTAATTTGTTAGTCATAGGAGCCAGAATTGGAGTCACTGAGGCTCCAGCTTCCCTAGGAGAGGGAGGGAATGTCATACCATGTTGAGCAAAAATCACAGTGCTAAGTACAAGCTGCCATGAGTGTCAGTATTTTTAAAATGCAAGTCTGTGGGGATTAGTTATGTGTAATAAGCCTTCCACATATACCTTTGGGGAAAAATATGCAGCAAGATCTGTTGTTAGATAGCAATTCTGAGAAGAATTTAAGAGGAAAGGCACTATTCCTTCTCAAAGCAAGGTCAGCGATAAAGTTAGATCAGGTTGTTCATGTTATGTGTTTAAATGAATTATGATTTGTGTAGATTAAATGATCTTCTCCCTCTTAAATGTTTAAGTAAGTAGGGGGGATGCTTACAGATCAGATGTTGCTTACAAAAACTATTTCACTGGGTTTTTTACATGTAAATTTCAGGACTTCAACTAATTTTTAAACTTCAGTGTTATCAAACTTAAAACTTTCTATAAAATTTAGTAGCAAAAATCACCCATTTCCTTTCCTGATCCTTGACTGGTTGTAGTACTTCTAGGAAGAATAGGGCTTATCAGAGGAACTGAGATCAATGATTAAAGAACTTGGTAGAATGATGATGGTGGTAAAAAAAATCCATTAAGGCTTGTAAGTTTCAGAAGTTGGTTGCTTGGTATCTGTCATTTTTCAGTGTTCTGTCTTAACTTGGATACTTCTCAGTTTGCTGAAAGTTAGGACCCTCCTTCCAAAACAAAATTTATTGTATTTAAAAAATGATAAAAAAAAAGATTGAGGCTCTTGGCGTGCTTTTTAAAACAGTAACATTTTCCTTCCTCTAGAGGATACCAAAACACTTAATAAATTCAAATGTGTAACAGATTTTTTTTGCTCTTGCAGATTTGCCTAAGAAAAATAATTAACAACCACACTGTTAAATAACTCTAAACTGTTTCAAATGTTTCTTAGGTTAAATCATAGCACTTCTCTGATTTCTGAAGTTTACTCTCTCCAAGGTAACTCTGAGACAGGTTGCCATCTGTGGATAGTTTCTTTTGATAAGGCAGAGGGAAGCTGTTAGGAGCTCTGAGAACCTGTGC